AGATGTCGGCAGCTGCCATCACTCGTGGACTATGAGACTTTCTTCTCGAGGCCTTGGGGAACCTTGAAAGTCACCTCTAATCAGTCAAAGTTGGCCCAGAAGCAGAAACCTCTTGTTATTCCAGCCAGCAATTTTTCTAGCACAAAACCTTTAAAACCTAAAAGGTACCTATCTCCTCTGATAATTCAGAATGATCTGCTTTTCCTGCAAAAATCCTGGTTTTGTTGCTCTTGTAAAGCTGGCATGCACACCGAGCTAGTGATGTCACTACTTTAGAAAGCAGTCACTCAGTCCTCCTCGGACTACCAGTACATGATAAGATTCAAACAATTGTGGGGTTTTTTTTTTTAATCTGGCAGAATACAGTATTCCTGAGGAAACAATCAGGCAAATCAAAATGGAGAGATAGTCTACATAACAATGGGGCTCAATTCTTCAAAATTGCCAGGGGTGTGAAAGACAAAAGTGCGGGGGGTGGGGGGGCTGTCTAGATTAAAGGAGAATGAAGAGACTTGATAATTCAATGAGATCATCCTTGACTGGATCTTGATGGGGGGAGGGACAAGACATAAAAGATATCAATACCACAATCATGGAAATTTAAATATGGGCATCTATTGGATATTGCATCATAGTGCATCAAAGTCAAAATGCCTGCATGTGATCACCGCATTGCCCGTGGTGATGGAGAAGAATCTGTTCCTAAGAGATGCACGCACAAGCCCTTAGTGCGGAGCCTCGTGGGAGCGTGACACAGGGGGAGAAAGGCGTGACCCTATGTACACATTTCGCACCAACTAGAAAAAGTTAACACAGGCTTTACAATCAAAACGCTTTAGTGTATTTAAAGGCCACGTTACCCAGTCTGCTCAGAAGCCATCATCATTCCTCAAAAACCCAACAGCCACATGTCCCAGCACCTCCGGCTGATTGGCAACACTGTTCTCATTGTGCAATTATGCAGGGCCGTAAAACAAACGACAGCCTGTCTTTATTACAGTTTTTGATATTTTGGTCGTCATGGGCTTTTTCCCTTAACATTTGAATTTTTCAGTATTTTTTTGTCTTGATGACTGAGTTTTTCGGTGCTCCCGTAAATTTTTTGCCTTGCTAGCCTCTGAATCCTAGTCCTGGAGAAGAATCATGATGTCCCCAGTTCACTCACAAATGGTTCATTTAAAAAATATGGGTATAGGTAGTAATTATACACGGGCTTACACGTATGCATTTATTACACAGCTGTGTATACACACATGCATACACACATGTATGTGTACACATACTTACACACACATATGAAAAGATATAAGCAAATATGGCAAAATCCTATCAATTGATGAACCGGGGTGATAGATGTACAAATATTCATTGTATCATTCTCTTGCAATTTTTCTGTAAGCTGAAAACTTTTCAAGATATAACGATGGCAGAGGAATGAATTAATAAGTGAAAATTAAAACCTGGTATACATTTTGTACACGTTAAACTCATGTTAAAATACAAAGCTGCTATCCTGAGTGTGACCCGTGTATTTGTCCTGGTAGACTCTGCCAAAGGAACGTGATGAGGTATTTCACATGCAAATATCCATGCAGAGCAGCCTCCAGCGATGATTTGTGATGGGAGAAAACGTGAGGTCCTCCAGTGCAGAGAGCGCCCCTCCCTAACAAGCTGTGATTATTCAACGATTCCTCCCTCATCAAGACAGCTTCAGGCAAAGTCTATGAAGCGTCAACAGTTCTCTTTGTGTTAAGTGCATACAATCATCTCAGCAATGAGCATTGAAAAAATAATTATCTGTAATCCTCAGGTTTATTTGACATGGCAATATTAGAAATATCAGGGAGAATTACTCTGGGAGAAACAGTTCCTTAATAAAATATGAATAAGAACTTAGAGACGTTGAATGCCATACCCAACTTTTAAAATATTTTATGGGATTTTCAAAGAGTTGAGTTTTACACCACCTTCAAGCAACACAGGTGAGCTTACTTTTTTTTTAAACAATAGGTCAAGGCAGATGATAGATACAGTCAGATAAATGATGGATTGATAGAAAGATGATAGACATATGATATATAGATAGATAGATTAGCTATCTCGATATATAGACAGGTGGTATATAAATAGATAATATATGGTATTTTGTTATGAAAGTATTTTTCTTTAAATGATTCATTATGTATGTATTTTTAATTATTTTAAACTACTACTTTAAATAGCTTTCTGAATCAGTAAATACCACTTCTCAACATCTTCTAAGAAATACTTAAAACATTTAAAAAGATTTATAAAAAATGAAGTTCACGCTAGTGTTATTTATAACAGCAGGAAATTAGAAATCATCTATGTATCAACAATATGGAAATAGGGTACAACTGTTAGAGCAGACAGATAGCTGGATATGAGCAGAGAAAGGGGGACGCAGACCAAATGGCAGGAATTGGGCAGAAAGGAGGGGCACAGGCCAAATGCAGGAAACCACACCTCATGTAAGCACCGGGGGTCCCTGGGCAGAGAAAGAAAAGCAGGAACCTTGGGGCTGATAAGGGACCATGCTTTTGGGGGTGACAAGTGGCTGGAGAAGAACAAAGAAAGGTGAGAAAAGGCAGGAATCTCCAGTGTCCGAATGTAACCTTTTGCTCATTATGCCCTCATTTCAATAAAATTAGCCTTGCAGATCAGAAGTACCCATCATACACCGATGCCATGACACTTCTGATCCAGACTAAATAAGGACACAATTCCCTCCTCCCTTTGGGAAGGTGGAGTTGGGATGATAATCAGGGAATACGACCCCCAACCCTTCCCTCCCCAATGAATATTCCGCCCATTCATTTTTACACCCTATGTAACTAACTTGCCAAAGAAACACAGGGCAGCCACTCGCCTGAGCCTGCCCACTCTCCCCTTGACAGTGTACTATCCATCCTTTGATAAATCCTCACTTTACTTTTTTAAACTACTACGTCTTGTCTCTGAATTCTTTCTGGGACGGGACGAGAACCTGGAACAATGGGTACATTCACTGGCAACATAACCATTTTAAAGGATAGTTTCAAAGGGGTTGAAACTTAGAGAACCATTACAACATAATTTGTGGGAAAAGCAGAATCAAAAAGTACTTTTGTAATAAGATTGCTACATTAAATCAGGAAAAGAAACAACAACAAAAATCCACCATGATGTACTGAAAACACACTGAAAAAAAAAAGTCACTAAAACCTTAAGAGTGAAAATGAACTAATACATATTAGATACATACATGGATAGTTCTTTTAAAATTCAGTCACTCCGCCAGGGACCTTGTCTAATCACCTCATCCAAAACAGTGGCTCTGACCATCACTCTTTACCCCAATCTGCTTTATTTTTCTTCTTATCACTTCCTGGGATGATGATATGTATGTGTTGCTTATTCTCTGTTACCTCCACTAACACATAAGCTTTTTGAGGGCAAGGACCTCATCTCTTTTTCACAGTGTCGAACAGTGTCTGGCACATAATAAATGCTGAGTAAAAATGTGTTGAATGAATGAATTGACGTTACCCTAGAGCACTTCAAGTATGACAAATTGTAGGAAATCACACCACTTTGGGAATAAAACATCCCACATCCTGTGAAAACGTTAAATAATCTATATTAGTGTAAAGAACTCCCCCAAAGCAAGCAATGTAATCTCATATAAACTAGATGACTCATCTGATGGTCTCATTCTAGCGTGATGGGATGGAGGGCTCAAAGGGAAATGAAAGACTATCTCGTGTCCGATCATAAATCATAAAACATGACAACCAACAACCCAGGATGGGTCTGGTGGGTAGTCTCTTGGGATTTAGTTCCAGATTGTCCCCCAACACACACACACACACACACACACACACACACACACACACACCCCTACCAGAGATGGGAGGTCCATACAAACGATTCATGAAGTCCATGGTCTGAAATTCCAGAAAGTGGCAGCACGATTCTCAAGTTCCTTGTGGCCACAGACAGACTGAACATCCTAGGACTTCTGGCGCTTACCATGGACCTTGGACATTCAGCAGGATACAGGTTGACCAGAACATGCACTCAGGAGAACACTTTGAAGATAGAAAGCCTCTGATTCCTGAATATTCTATGGTAATGTATTTTAATTTCTTCAATATTTTCTGTTAAAGTTTCTGCCTTTGTTATTATGCTTAGAAAAGACCTTCCCATTCATGTATATTCATGAACATTTTATTCCAGTATTTTATATCATGGTGTAAAAATTTTTCACATTTTCAAAAAAACTGAGATTTGCTTTTAGACTCTGATGTGAAATAAAAATTTAATCTTTTTTCCCCAAATAGTTAACTATCTGATTAACTTATTTGATATTTCACAGTTGTGAAAATCAGAAAAGCTTGAGAACAGTACTCAGAAATATAATGTGGAATTTTAAAGCCACATGTGGAATTTCAAACTGTATTGTAGTCACATTTAAAAAGTATAAAGAAATGAAATTAATTTTAATAATGAATTTTAATTAACCTAATACATTCAAAATATTATCATTTCAACGTGTAATCAGCGTCTACCAGGACCTCAGTAACTGGAAGTCTCAATGAACTATGATGTTTTCATGTATTTAGCTTTCTTATATATAAAAAAGGCAAGAAAATCAAATTTTAGCAGAGGTTTATTCATGGAAGGAAAGAAAGGGGAAAGGGGGGAGGAGCTAAATCAAGAACACATCTTACTTACAATCATCCTAATCTTATCCACCCAGATTGACATGTCTGCACACTATTCAGAATGACGACCATTAGATAATCAAAGATAATGAATCTTGGAAAACAGCCTATTATTTGCATTCTACTTCACAATTTTTTAAAGTTTCTTAATAACAAGAGCTAAAAACCGAAAGGTTTCTGGTTGCCCCTTGGTTAAAGAAAACATTAAACTAACCAGGGGTTTCTACTCCCCAAGTGCTCCGATTCGTCAGGGATTTGCTCTAACTGGCTTAGCTCATGTGAAGAGTCTAGCTGTTGGGTGTCTACACTAGGTGCCCTGGGTACAGAAGGCAGCAACCTGTTTCTTTCCGAGTATCTTCCCATGGACAGTTGGGACTACTGGTATAGGAGGAATCTTTCCAGTGGCTCCGGCAGATATAGCTTGTGGATGGTCTGATGACATGCTCTACCCAAGCACTTCCGGACACACAGGCGGCAGAGCTGGGAAAGAGTAGGTGGGCCTGAGGAAGGAATTAACATGGTGTGAACCTCCTGACAGTGGGGAGGGGTTGGGGGTGAAGGGGAGACAAGAGAACTGGAAGAGGCTGAAACTTTCTAAAAGCTTAAGAGAAGCTGGGTCTGTACAGGAATTCGAGTGCAGTAGCAGATGCCAAATACACACAAAGGATCCTGGTTTGCCCCTCTGGACAGGACCATGTTTACGTGGACCCTCCAATGGTAGTTGTATGACCAATCATGAAAAAACGAGGCTAACCAGAGAAAGTTGGGAGAAAGAATACAAATCACTTAGACTCTACTATACCCTGAACCTCAGTTTCATGGAGTCTTATGGAGTCATCATGCCCGTGGCTTTCAGTCCCAAAGGAAAGCAAACTAGTAAGAGTCCAAAATACAGTGGAATAGGATGAATGAGCATGTGGTTGGAATACACATTACACAGGGGCATTAGTAATGCCCCATTATTTCCTAACTAGACTGTATCAATAAAGATCGCTTCAAGTAGATATATGTCATTACTGGACTATACAAAGTTCTCCTTTTCCAGAAGATCCTACTGTAACAGCATCTTGCCCCTCATGAGAAATGGTGACTGTATACGCAAAGAGGCGGGTATCACTTGGATTGGTACTGCCAAGGAGGGTCCACGTGACAGAAAGCTACCTGGAGGAGCAAGCCATCACCCTTAGTTAAAATCTTGGGAAGCAAGAGTGGAAAGTGTCTCTCGTGTCACACGACTCAAGCCCTGCAGAGTGAACTCTGACCTAGCTGATGCTCATCTTTCTACAAAAAGCAGCTGTACTCATGAAGATAGAGGATAGAGGAACTTGCTTATAAGAAATATCAATCCTGGACCTGGAAACATTTTTGGTGGAAGAAAAGAAGAAATGTGACAATTGCTATAAACCACATTCTCAACTAATAGCTGTTGAGTACCTGGTATTTCCCAACTCAGAGCTGGTAAGGAAGATCATCATTCTTCCAGTAGAGATTCAAATGAAAGAACAATCATTCATGACACAGGCTATTGGAAATAATCTAGACCAAAGTGTGGGCTCAGACCAGCAGCAATGACACCACCTGGGAGCCAGGGGGCCATGCAGGAGGCCCCACCCCAGAGCTCCTGAACTGCAATCTGCACTTTAATGAGACCTCCAGGGGATTCGCGTGCCCATTAAAGCTCAAGAAGCGCTGACCTAGAGAGTATTCCTAAAATTCTTGAACCAAGCATTCCACTTGGAAAGGATATAAGACACGGGGGTGGTTTCACTAAATGGAACTGCGGACTGAAACTAAACTCTTCCCCATCAGAAACTGTTTCAGAAGATTCAGGATCGGGGCATGATAACATTAAGAAGGCACAGTGGAACCCTAGTTCTTGCTTAGAATCCTACTTATACTTCTTAGTAGCTGTGTGACCTTTTGAAAGCCAATCTCTTCAGGCTTCTCTTTTCCCATTTGCAGCTGGGAGAGTACCAGTTACTCTTATTCCCGTGGCAGGGGAGTAAGAGGTACAAACTGCTAGGTGTACAGTAAACTACAAGGGTGTATTGTACAACATGGGGAATACAGCCAGTATTTGTAACTATAAATGGAGTATAACCTTTAAAAAGTGTGAATCATTAGATTGTCCTCGTGGCTTTAAAGTTTTGAGAATTCAGTGAGATTAATCTGTGTTTCAAATGCAGCTAATGTCTGACACACAGAGAGCTGAATAATTGCTATTGCTTTAACAGTCTCTCAAGCATACACATACACAGTGTAGGCTCAGATACGTGTTCTCTTTCAGTGTGGGCACAGCATGGTTCTCTTCAGAATTTGGGATATGAAGCCCGGTAAAGGCCCACCTTCCCTCCTCTGGCATCTGGGGAGGTATCAGCCCATGGTGGGCGTGAGAGCGAGGCGATGCGGAGCTCTCCAGATCAGGGAGAGCAGGCAAACAACTTCAGCACTTCATCCAGTTTCTGAAATCTACACTCTGTGTCTCGAACTCAAGTATTTCTCATTTCCCCTGAATTGCCCCCAAATATTACAAAGCAGAGTTTTGGTCTGCTCAATCATGTGTTTATACCAGGATAGACACGGGAATTCAACCTTTTCATGGTGAAAACAAAGTTCTTTGATCATCTCCTTGTCAATGTCAATACAGAACAACATACCAGCTGCATGTAAATGCCCCTTTGCTGTAAGTGAAGATACACAGCGTACAAAATCCCATCTCAGTGATGCGAGGACTTGCCCCCTCCCACGTGCCACTCCCAATTAAAAAGAGAAAAAGGAAAAAGTAAGAAAGTCTAGAGATGAGACAGGAAGGAGAGAGAGCAAATGCACTTCTGGAAGAGAAACAGATGCCCCAGGTTTTCTTACCTTCTCGGAGCAGGAGCGCCTGCTCCACCCCGCTTTTTGGAGCGGCCAGGTCAAGGGCACTTTTGCCCTGAGCGTTTCTGCACTTCAGGTTAGCCCCATAGTCAATCAGCAGGTGGATGATTTCCACACTGTTCTGCCGGGCGGCCGCGTGGAGGGGGGTGTCCAGCCATTGGCCATGGTCAATGTTGGCTCCTTAACAAAGCACATGACCACAATTCAACACCACACGTCAATGAAGAGACAGAACGAGCCTAAAATGGAGTAGCTGTTGATGAAGACAGCTTAAACACCATGATATATCTGACAAATCTGTGGAAATGTACTGCTGAAGCCTAGAACCTCAACAATACCTATTAAGGCTGTTTAGAAATATTTTGATGAGAAAAGTGAATAAAAATATTTTTAGTCATTTTAAATGCTTTACTTGCTTTCCCATAATGACCTGTGTGACATACAAAATTAAATAGTTGAAGCTTCTTTTACATTCTGTTTGTTCTGTTTTTTGGCAAAGGACAAAGCTAAGTTTACTTAGTGTTTATATTATTCTGGGCTCAAAAAAAAGTTTTCTGAATTACTGTAGGGAGCATTAAATGATAACAGATAAAAAAGACAAAAAAAATCTTGGAGATAAAAGTTCTTATTTAAAGGTTCTTACTACAATCTCTACCTTTATGTCAGCGGCTAAGTTTGGGGGGACTCTCTAACCAAATAATAGTTCCAAGACCTTTTATCTTTCCCTGGATTCAGTTTTTGTATATGCCTTTTATAATTTAAAAAGTTACTAAATAATTTAGCAGGACTGAGCTAAAGTAGTCTGTGACAAAATAGCTGTTATTTTTACAATCCAGCGTCTTCCTGGTGACCACACCCAGATTTCCCTCTGGAGAATCATCTCCTGTGATTCTCAGTTCATGTGTTTCCAGTGAAGCCCAACAACTGTATTATGGACTGAAATCTAGTCCTAAGCCAATCCGTGAGTTGCATTCCCTCAGCCACAGTGATTGGTTCAGAGATGAACATGTGACTCGAAAAGAGCCAATGAAACACAATTGGTTTTTTTCCCCTGGGATTTATAGGAAAGAGACTCTTGCTGTCTCTTGAGACCACCAAGGAGAATCACACCAGGTAAATGGAGCCAGTATCAAAGGAAGACAAACTAAGAACCAGAGACACTCATTTCTCTCAGTTCTATTTTAAGCATTTAAACATCAAAAGCTGTCAGAATTTTGTCCAGCCTGACAAGAACTTTGTCTTTGAAGCCATGGAAAACCAACAGGGTTAATAAATCCTTCTCATGAAAAGATTTCTGGAAGTTACCTAATTCTAGAAGTTTCTTCACACAGTCTAGCCTCTGGTAGGTGCAAGCCACATACAGAGGAGTTCCGAGGTGAGGCACTTCTTGGTCAATGTTGACGTTATTTGCCAGCAGAATCTCCATGCACTCTCTATTACCTGGTGGAACACAAGATGACCTCAGTCAAGTAAGGGAAATATTAACTACTCCCAGAATGATAGGATTGCTTCCCTGGAATGGGCTTTGGAAATAACCCAGATTTTTTTTTAAGCAGAAAAAAATGTGGGGCAGGGGGAGGAAATCTTAGAAGTCTCCCAAATGAAACCATTAAAAAGAAGATCATGCCCATGGGTCCCCCACTGAAGTTCTTCCCTGCCACCCTTGCAGTACCTCCCGCCAAACAATGGGCTCCAAGTGGCACAACTGAAATCACTCTCTATAATAAGTCATCAGTCTACAGACAGAGGCTGCAACACCCAGGGGATACATGACTCATCCAATTGCTACCCTGTAAAGGCAGTGCTCAAATCCAAGGCCCAGCCCTCCTCTCTCTCCATTACAAATCTCTCCCTCTCTCTTTCACCCATGCATGTAAGACTGGGTGGATGGCCACACCATGCAGTAAAACCTCTGTATTTTGGTTAACCTGGTAGACACCTATGAGAATTAATAAAAAGCCTCAAGTACAGAATATATTGAAATGAACTTGCAAGTTTCATGGCTAACAAGAACTCTTTTTTTTTTTTAAGGAGGTACTGGGGATTGAACCCAGGACTTCATGCATGCTAAACATACACTGTATCACTGAGCTATACCCCCGCCTTCCACAAGAACTCTTTGAGGAAGCATTCTCCTTGGAGAGTTTGCCCAGTGAATAGATACATATGATTAATTTGCAGCATATGAATGATTTGTTTGGGAGCAAATGCTTTTGAGGTATTGATGGGAGTTTTATAAAGAGTTCCTTCTTTTTGAAGATTTAAATATTTCCTTAAAAAAAACTCACCATTGGTGATTAACTTAACCACCCTTTTCTTTATAGGTAACATAAAAGTAAGTTTCGTTTCAAGCCTGCTTGATTTATCACAAATTCTGAATTACACATATAATTATGCATGAAAATGTACAACTAAGGATTTTGCAAATTCAATCTGTTTGTCCACATAAGTAAATATTATACCTGGATTACAGCATCAATCTGTCACAGTATTGACTCAGACTAACCTAGCTTGTTACTAGAGGTTTAAAGCTATAAGAATCCAGAAGTAACATCTAATCGTTACCTAAAATCTGCCTGATAAATATAGTGTATCTAAAAAAACATTTTGAAGTCATCCTTGTCCCTTTTTTTGCCAGTGAAACTGAGCCTAGCTTGAGTTAAATTTAAGTATTCTCTGGAAGTTTTAAAAAATAAATATATGAAAGTTTAATGATTGGCACTAGTATAATAGTATCTAAAATAATGAATTTACTATTCATCCTTCCACTCTGTGGACGTTGCTCCTTAACATGTTTTTAATACAGAAAAAAATACGTAGAAATGCATGAATTCACATTTATGATAAGTGTATATATATATATATAATAGGTACATAGATACCAAATACTCCATATATGACCATCCAAGCACTGCAGAATTACTTAAGTAATTCAAACTATTCCCAGTATTTATCCATTTTTAAACATTTGGATGGAAAGACAAATAAAAGATTCATTTTTGCTTCAAATCAGTATTTATTTAAAAATTTTAAACACTTATATCATTTCCAAAGTAACTATTTTCCTACAACTTAAAGGACTTACTTGAAGTTTGGGAAATGACCAACATCAATTATTAAAATCAACAAATTATTTATTTTTTAAAAAAATTTGGGGGGGAGGTAATTAGGTTTTTATTTGTTTTTAGTGGAGGTACTGAGGATTAAACCAGGGACCTTGTGCATGCTAGGCACACACTTTACCACTGAGCTATACCCTCACCACCCAACAAATGTTTATTAAATATGTACAGGACATCAAAACCCTATATATGTTGAGATTTGGGTCTTTCGTATCATTTAAAGTAATCCACTGCAAAAAAAAACAAAATTAGCAAGTGACACGTTTCATAACCTGGGGCAAATCTTTCACTATTGCCTTTTGAAATAAAGACTTTAATCCCCATTAAACCAGCAAAGATCACTGTTCCACAGAGTTCTAACGTCTCCATTGTATTTCTGATCTCAGTATAAGAGAATTAGTCTACCGGTGGGTAACACAGAAATGTTACATTTTAGGTGTGACCTATGACGCATTCCATTGGCCTTTCAATGGCTCTTCTTGTTCATGCCTGTGCATATAGTTTTAAAAGTCATTAGTTTTACTCTTTCCTGTCATTTAATTTATTTTTTTTAATTCTTTTTTTTCTTTCCCATCATTTTAAAAGGAACTGACAACATAGAAGTCTGGAGTCAACTTCAAGATTTCCAATGCCCCGCTTTTTAAAGTTGCAACTTTTTTTTCAATAACTAATGACCTTGATGGCGATCAGCTCATCTAGAGTATATTGCAGTTACGTTTAATCTTCCATTAGAGATACTCTCAGCCTTGGCTTTCAGAAACTTTCGTAGTTTATTTTATATTAATGGTTGATATTTTATGGGCTTTGGGGCATGAGCCATTCTTTTCTAGGAAGGACAGAGACATAAACACACTGCAGCTTGTGCACGTTACCCCTGCAGCCTTGACTCCACCAGCTGCCTCCAAAACACCAGCAAAGAGTTGCAAGCAACACCTGCTGACTGACCCCAGGAAACAGGTCGTTGGAGACAGAGAGCCAACCCCAGGTTATAAGAAGAGCTGTTTCATGCCACAGTGGTATTTCCTGAAGACTTAGGCATATGGAAGCTCCCGCTGTGGGACGGCTAAGCCACACACAGTTTACTGGTGAGGAAGATCTGGGAGACCCTTGCATGGTGAAAACTGGATCATTGCTTCGTGCACACTGGAGTGAGCCCACCAGTGTTTTGTGTGCCCTGTGGTGGCTCATTTACCTCTCTTCACTGCCTCGTGGATGGGGGACGCCAGGTGCACCTCGAGCTGGGCCTTGGCTCCAAACTCCAGCAGCACGCTGACGCACGCCGCACTGCCACTGCAGCAAGCGTTGAAGAGGGGTGTGGCTCCGTGAACGGTCACTCCATTGACCTAATGATGGGCAAAGAGAGAACCAGAGGATCTGCTGTTTCTTTATCACCATCTCCAGGTGTGTATTCCTATATATCAGCCTGGAGAAACCTCTCGTGCTGGTAAATGAGTGAGGCAACTCTAACATCATGACACTCGGATGTTTTTCAGGTACCAGTAGCCTCTCAACTCTCACCTATAAATAATATCACAAGTGGGCCAAAATGGGGCAGTTTTTAAAATGTATTCATGGGTATACTAGAGCTTCTTAAGAGCCTCCTGACTGTTGAGGAGTGGTCCTATATTGTGGTTAGAACACGGCCTCTGGAACAATTAGCTTAGGTTCAAATCCCCGCTCTCTCCCTGATGTACTCAGAAAGCTTGGTTGGGGTACTAACTTTCTGTGCCTGGGTTTCCTCATCTGTAAAATGAGGATCATAAATAATCTCCCTCATGAGGTTACCGGGGGGATCAGGTGAGTTACTACATGCTAGACGCCTAGAACATTGCCTGGAGCCCAGTAAGTAGTCAAAAAATTCTCTCCATTTTCCATTAATATGGAGCCGACTCCCTCTCCCAATCATGATCAAACATGGCAGGAACCAAAACTGGAGAAACCATCTAGCTTAAGGTCCCAAACTCTCCACTTGTTAAAAAATCTCCTCAGCAATTCCCCATAGTTCTTTCTCGCCACAAGTGTCCTTTCTGGTCTACTATAATCCACACAAATTGCATATGCCTGCAGGGACTCCTAGAGAGATCATGACCAAGCAAAACGCACAAAGAAAATAGCCATCAACCTGGTGTCTCCAACCAACCTCAGTGCCTTCCAGGGATGCGGGAGGCATGTGAGAACCAGCACAGCTGGGAGGCATCTTTGAGTATTAGCAACAGACTGGGAAGACCATCAGGGAACCAAGGCACAGTGGGGAGGCGCTGGTAGGACTGAAAAGTGGGACAAGGAGAGTCTGATGTCGAACCATTTTTGCCTCAACAACTAAGGACACCTGCTTGTGATAATCAGGATCCTAAACCCAAAAGACCTTTCTCCGCAGTGCCAGGAGAGTCCCCATTCAATTGGAAAGTTAAAGATGAGATGCTAAGATGCAGAGACAGACAAGGACGGGACAAATGTGTGTAAATTCATACACTCTAAGGATTTCTAACCTATTTACATTTTTACTGAAAAATATTTAGTGGAACTGGTCTGATTTGCTTTAACTAAGTATCATTCTCATCCTCAGTCCTGGACATCTTCTAATTTAATTTCCTGTAAGTTTCTCTCTTGGCTCAGGTCAGCCAACATTTATTGAGCACCTATTAGTCGCCAGTGTTTTGGAAACAAAGGTGAGTAAGACCATGACCTCTCCTTGAATACGCTGAATTCTTTTAGGGAAGACAAATACAAAAAGAGAGAATTTTGATACAATAATAAATGCTTTAGATCACAACAGGCACAGGACCAAGGAGAGCACAGACTTGAAAAGTATTTAGGAAGTAAAATCAGGGGATATTGTAATTAATCAGATGGGGAGATGGAATAAAAAGGATGATTCGAGGTTTGGGGCTGGGGAAACCAGTAATATGTTTCACCGAGTCTCCGAAGCTGGACATCCAAGAGGAGGAGCCGGTCCCAGAAGGGAGAACACGATAAGCAGTTTCAGATGCACTGAGCTCGAGGTACCCGTGGGACGGCCAGTCTTGAGGAATTGACTACTGATTGATCACCTTTCTCCTACTCCTCTTCTCATTCTGATTTGAATGTTAAGTAACATAATATTTATTGACTGTTCCCTCATAAGATTGCCAGAGACTAGGGACTATGTCTTACTCTCTTTTTTGTCCCCCACAGCACCTCCCAGAGGTTCCTCTACGACTCAATGTTGTTCGCTATTTCCCAACAACTTGAAGGGAAATGGTCCCCACCCAGCCTTGCCCTCATTACGTGAGAGTTGATTAAGTGGTAATTTAAAGAAACATAACCTAATGAAGACACATGACCGCAAGGCACCAGAGAAAATCGCTTTGCCCACGGAAGACTTTTATATTCAGTTCTACACATAGAAACCCAGCTCCACATAAAATGCAAAGAAAATCTTCGTTAAGCACTTAAAAGCATTACAGCTTACAAGACAAAGAATGCAAGGACTGAGTTTAAAAAAATGAAATGAACAAAACAATATTTGGCAACTAAATAAAGGTCACTGAGATTTTCAAAAGTACTAATTTCAGAATTCTACTCAGCTATCTGTATTACATACAGCTCCTGGGTCACTCCTTGAAAACAAGGAGAGAACTTAAAAATAAGATAAAGTTAATTTTGTAGTGTTTTTCCCATGTATTATTTATTAAAAGTTCATTTTGTTTGATAACTCTGCTCAATAAAAATCGTTATGGGTGTAGGGTGTTGAATTAAGAATGGTTTTTGATTGCTGTTAAAATGTGAGCTTTTTAATGTTTTACCATGAATTTTCCAAGACCAGTTTTCAAATTACTTTAGCCCAAGTTGGTTTTTCTCAAGTCCGCATCACAATTTTGCACAAGTTCTATGAGTTACCTTGTCTGAACGTTCGCACACGGGCACAGAGGCTGCAGAGAGGTGTACCCAGCAGGGTTTCCCAGCCGTACAGGAATATGGACACGGTTGGGGCCAGGCCTGCGCACCCCACCGCGGGTAAGCGTCCGGAAGGTGATGCGTCTTTAGATGTTAGCGGTTGCACCTGGGCAGCCAGGCCCGCGGGCGGGGAGGGTACTCACGTGTGCTCCGTTCTCCAATAAGGCTTTAGCGCAGGCGACATGACCTCCAAGGCACGCCTCGTGGAGAGAAGAGACGCGGTTAATTGTTACCAGGTTCACATTGACGCCCTACAATTTGGAGAGAAATGGATTAAAGGTTGCATTAGCGATAGAAAGGAAGCAGGGTCGTGGGACATGTTTCTGAGTGTTCAGGGCCTGCAGGTACCATCCAGAGAGGAGCAGAGGCCATGACCAGGGGAGTCCAAACATGACTGGGAGCCTTGGATTCATTTATTTATTCAACAAAAGCTTGCTCAGCCTTCTGGGCCAGGCTATCTGCTAGCACCTGGGTCTTCAAAGCTTATGACGGGTCTCTCTCCTCTAACAGCCTAGTGGGGAGACAGACAAGGCTGCGGGAGTTTTAATTGGGAGCATGGGGGCTCCTTGAGTCTGGCTCGGGGGTAAGAAAAAACAGCAAATAAGGTAGTATTTAGCTAAGTCTTGAAGCATAAAAAATTTCAAGCTAGGCAGGCAAAAAGAAAAAAGAAAAAGAGCATCCATTAGCCGGGAACAGGATATGCAAATACAGGACACAAAGGAGACCATGGCAGTGTAACAGGGAAGGACAAATCTGACTCCACATTGGATCTGTTCCTTTAGCGCTCACCCAATGCTCTGTTTCCGGTGCTGAGTCTCGCTGGTTCTGCACCTTTTGTAACAGAATGTTGCCTAGAGCCTGAAATCTACAGGAGAGCCCATTCTCAAGGCTCTGACCTTTTAAGGTGCAACACTTTTCCATTCATACAGAGATAAAACGTTGTACAACAGAGAATGTGTCTTGTGGGAGGTCTGCAGGACCTTGTGACCTGACCTACACGGACAGCTGCAAGAACAAAGGATTCTGACACCAAGAAGTTTGCAACAACCAACCACAACCCCCTCCCCTTTTTAGTATAAAAGGAGCCTGAATTCTGACTTGGGGAAGATGGTTTTCCAGAATGTTAGTCCTCCATCTTCTCTGTCTGCTGGCTTTCTGAATAAAGTCATTGTTTCTCACCCCAACACCTCATCTCCCAATTTACTGGCCTGTTGTGCAGCGAGCAGAACAAGTTTGGACTCGGTAACAGCAGGGCCACAGTTGGATAGTTTCTGGATCAGAAAGAGCCCACATGTGATAGAGGCGGAAGAAGAAAGGGGAAGTGGGAGAAAGGGGAAGACAAAGGAGGAACTAGGAGATGGGGGCTGATGCAGGGGACAGCTTGAGCCAGACTGTGAAACACCTTGAATTCCAAACAGGGGGTGCAGGTCTTGCAGGGAATGAGGCGCCTTTCATGCCTGTTAGGCTGTAGAAGGTCTGGAGCTAATACATGAGATGTTTTAGGGAAAGCACACTGGTAGCACCACAGAGGGTTGCTTGGTGACATTGAAGAAAGGAGAGCCATGAAGACATGGTGGTGAGTTCAGGCACAAGCTGATACGGACCTGAGATGGGTGTGAGGAGCAGGTGACAGAGTCCAGGGTTCAGGAGGTAGAATTGGAATTGGCACAGGTGACTTACAGGCTCAAGACTAGAAAGTGAAGTAGATGGTGCTCCCAGGATTTCCGTGCTGTAGGAGCAGTGATGCTGACCACCACGCCTCCACTGCGCGGTGAGGTCTTGGCAGTACCAGGGTCTGGAGCCAGGGGCTTCTCCTAACACTCATCTCTGTCGTACCCAGATCTCCGCCCGGTCCTACACACTTGCCCTCTCCACACTGTCATGCTCCACTTGGAGTCCCCGTGCTAGATGACAGACTCAGCCTAGCTGCCAGCCAGCTCTGACTTCCTGCTCTGATTCGAACAACTTGGCCTTTACCATCTCCCACCAAGATGACTTTCTATCTGTGAAAGGGTTTAGGTTTCAGCCAGTCCCCAGCTGAATTCTGCTTTTGATTCCCTGCCTCGCACGTGAGCTGCTGAAACCTTCCAAAATCTAGTGCATGACCCTGAACCTCAAACCCCAACCTAGGTCCCTATGATCCCCTACCAGACCTCCATGGTACTGGCTCTTTACCTGCTGTCAGCCCCGTCATCTTAGGGCCTGGCTATGCCTCCTTGGTCCTGTCCATTTTTATGTCCTGAATGTGACATCATTACTCCAGAGCTGTGCTATATATTTACAACTGGATATCTAAGAATGTTTCTTTCCTTTTTCCCATACATAATTTCAAGAAAAAAATAAGAAAAAATTTAAATAGTCCACAAGATGGCAGCAGTGCACTAAGGAGAAACTGGCGCAAACTCAGAATCCCTGGAATTGTACAAATGCAATGCTGGACAGACCCGAAGGATCATCTACAGTGAATCACCTTCATTGCGCGTGAGAAAATGGAGGAGCAGAAAGTTCAAACTATTAATAAGGTTTGAGGTTCCCCAGCTGTCAGTGACAGCCAGTGTGATCAGCAGGAGCTCCGGATCCTCGGTTTAATGTTCTGCTCACAGCACACCACACTGTCTACATGTAAGAGAGGAGAACATAAAGTAGAATAATCCATTTTTTACTAGTGTGTAAGGGTAAAGAAGTGGGGATGTACTAAAAGGTTGAAGAATTCTCCATGAAGAATGAGCTTTACTTAGTGAAGCACAGTATAGAAACCAACATGCTTATGAAGTACAGTTAAAAAGAGATGCTGGGGGTGGGTATAGCTCAGTGGTGGAACGTGTGCTTAGCATGTGTGAGGTCCTGGGTTCAATCCCCTGTATCTCCATTAAGAAAAAAAAAGTGCCAAAAGCAATATGATATCCTGGACTGGATTCTGGAAGAGAAAAAGGACTCCAGTGAGAAGACTGATGTCACCCCAAAAGTCCGGAGTTTCCTGAATATGATTGTACTGATGTTAATTTCCTATTTTTGACTAAAGTACCACGGATATGTAAGATATAAACACTCGGGGAAGTTGGGTGAAGGGTATACTGGAACTCACTGTACTGTCTTTGTAACTCTCCTTTAAAATGGTTCTAAAATTAAGCTTATTAAAAATACTAATAAAAGTATTGAGCTGAGGGGAGCCAAGACAGAGGAGGTGAACGCAAGACTTTTCACTGTGTACCTTTTTATTTCATTTTAACTTTTAAACTATGTGACTATGTCACCTATTAAAAATAATCAAAACAAATAACATGTTAAGTGCTCAAAGACAGAAACAGAGCCATCGATACAGAGAACAAACAGGTAGCTGCCAGAGCAGAGGAGGTCAGGGGAGGAGAGAAATGGGTGAAGGAGATAAAGAGGTACAAATTTTTGGTTACAAAATATGTGAGTCACAGGTATGAAATGTATAGTGTGGGGAATATAGTCAATAATTATGTCATATCTTTGTATGGCGACAGATTGAAACTACACTTACCATGGTGATTATTTTGAAATGTATAGAAATATCGAATCAGTGTGTTCTATAACAAGAACTAACAGGTGTTGTGGGTCTTATACTTCAAAAACAAACAAACAATCTCATAGAAAAAGAGATCTGATCTGTGATTAGCAGAGGTAAGGGGTGGGAGGACAAGGAATGGATGAAGGCAGTCAAAAGGTACCACCTTCCAGTTCTAAGATAAATAAGCACTAGGGATGTAATTTAAAGCATGTTAAAGATAATTAACACTGCTCTATGTTGTACATGAAAGTTGTTAAGAGAGTAAATCCTAAGAGTTCTCATCACAAGGAAAAACATTTTTTCGATTTCTTTAATGTTATACCTATAAGAGATGACGGATGTTCACTTACTGTGATAATCACTCATGATGCGTGTAAGTCAAGTCATTATGCTGTACACCCACCCTAAACTTATACAGTGCTCTGTGTCAACTATATCTCAAGAAAACTAGAAGGAAAAAAATCAAACCAAATAAAATTTTAAGCGCTTAAAAATAAATGAGCGAGTGGACTTTCTTAAGAAGTGACACAACTCCTAGGAGTTCGAGATTTGCAGATACTGACTCACATGTATAAAACAGATAAACAAGTTTAGACTGTGTAGCACAGGGAACTGTATTTGATACCTTGTAGTAGCTTATGGTGAAAAAGAATATGAAAAGGAATATATGTATGTTCATGTATGACTGAAGCATTGTGCTGGACACCGGAAATTGACACAACATTGTAAACTGACTATACCTTAATATTAAAAAATTAAAAAAAGAAGTAACACAACTTATAAAGGAGAAAGAAGAAAAAAAGGCACACACACCCAGAGAAAAGGAGCAGTGTACCCAGCTGTCTAAATTCAAAATGAGGAAGCCAGGTTTGGTGGCAGCTAGGATGTGGAAAAGAGATCTAATGACTTCCCTTCTCTGTACACACGTAGACTCTAAAATAAAGTAAATGGACTGTGTACACTTTCACTCATTCCACAAATATTTACTAGGCCTCTATTCATTATTCAAGATACTAGGGATACAGTCATAAGTAAAAATAAATGAGTCTTAAGAACAAAGATTTTAACAAATCTTCCCAAAGGAGTAAGATGTACCCATTTCTCAACTTAGTTTAATGTTTGCTCTTGAAATACTGTATCGTCAGGGTAGATGGCTCCCAGTGATCAAGATGGCTCCTGATTCTTGGTATTGGCTCACTTGTGTAATCCCCTCCCCTTGGGTGGGGGCTGGATTTATTGACTGGCATCTAATGAGTAGAACATGGCAGAAGTGATGGGATGTCTCTTTGGAGATTAGGTTATATACTGAGACTTCCTTCTTAGGCACTCTGTCATGCCCTCCATGGAGGAAACCAGCTACACAACCCTATGGAGAGGCCCATGCATCAAGGCATTGAAGCTGGCCAACAATCTCATGAGTGAGGTTGGAAGCAGATCATTCCCCCATCAAGCTGTGAGATGCCTATAGCCCCCACTGATCCTTTGTAGCCTGTACCTGCCAGAGACATGGAGCTAGAACCACCCAGCTGAGCTGCTCCTTGACTCACAGACACTGTGAGAACCTACGTGTTTACTGTTTTCAGCCACTGTGTTTCAAGGTAAATTGTTACAGAGCAATAGCTGACTAATGCAACCTTAGGGCTGCTGGAGGAACACTGGGAGAGTATAAGGCGAGTTAGTACAACAGAAGTTTGAGGGCATCCCCCATCAGCCTCTCAGGGAAGTTTTGTATGAAGCAAAGAAAGACTCAGAAGGGGAAGGATGGAACTGGGCAGAAAAGCAGCCAGCTCCCTAAGAAAGGCGGGGCAGGAGGAGCAAATGGTGAGGTGTAAGAGGACACGTACGCCAGGAACGGCAGTGCTGGGGCCCAGATGGGGCCAGGAAGACTTCTGCTCCAGTTACAGCTAAGGAAGAATGACGCTTGATTACAGCATAAGCCCAAAGGATCCCATCCTTAGTTTACTTACCTGTGCAATTAGAGTCTTAAGGGCGAGCAGGCGCCCCTGAGCCGCAGCTTCATGGAGTGGGGACCGATCAGCCCAGCAATCTGAAACACACATCAAACTCAGAGTCAAGGTCTGGAGTCCTCTCACTCCTACGGTAACAGGAGGTGTGGGGGAAGAGGAGGGAGGCTCGCGTCACTCATGAGGTTCTCTGGCCGGCCACTTCGCAGGGTGACAAGCCTCTGAGGGCACAGTCCGCGGGTTTGGTAGTGTGTGTGCACAGGGAGCACAGACAATCTCTCTGGGGAGAGGGGGACAGTTGTAATAGCAATGTATTTCATGCAAATAAATAATGGCCAGTGATTGCATCCAATACCTTCGAGGAAGCAAAATAAAGGGAAAAGCTGGTCAATGAACTCCCCCACTTTCTTCTTTCCCTTGCCTCTCCCCCTCCCCCCACCCTAAAACTCAACATCCTATACACCAGGAAGGAGACCCCAAGGGACCAGGGGGAATGGTTTGGTTCGAAATTCCCTAGGTAATTGTCTCTGTTTCCTTTGGGTAAGGAAGAGTATGTTTCACGATGCAGAATATTGTTTTCCAGATGACATCATCTGCCTAACAGTTTTCGTGATGGCAGTTGAATGTGACAGCTAAGCAAGGGGCCAGTGAAGCCACACTGCCTGGGTTCAAGTCCTGCCTCCACCACTTCCTCTGCCAAAATGGGCAAGTTACTAAAATTATTCAAACCTCACCTTTCTGATCTGTAAAGTGGGGGTATAGCAATCTAGTATTTAGCAGCTTCTTTGGTCTCTAATGAGGCCAGTAAAGTCCATCCATAATGTTAGTTGCTCAAGAAAATGTAAGATTGATAATTACACGTGGGGGAATAGCGCTCTAAGGGAACAGCCTCACAACTGCCTTTCAAATGTATTTTTCTTGTAATTGCTTGTCAGTAAGCAAGACTAACCAGCTAGCTTAAAGGTGCATTGGAGAAGTAACCTTCTATTAAACTTGCCAAAGGGCAATCATTCATTTTGGAAAACAATCTACACTGGTTTGTAGAATGTAGGCATTCTTCAAATTATAACTGTGCTCTTCATACATTGAATAGCATGGAATACAGTTTGGATTCCACACAAAGGGCCCGTATTGTCACCCTTTTGTAGGTGATCCTGATCGTGCTAAGAATTCAGGCTTTCCCATACCTGTGACCTTGGCAAAAGCAATCCCATCAAAGAGGAAATCATGTGAACTTGAAATAGCTCGTCCTCAAGGAGAGAGTGAACTTTTCCAATGGATGAGAATCAGGGTTATCAACAGGCTTATTTCCATAAGTCCTCTTCTTACACTGAAACTCAATTTTTATCTTCTCTAGCCCTTTGGGTTATGAAAAGGGAGAGAGCTAGAATGAGCTCTACAGGGTTGGATTGAAATTGGAGCAACTGGTATGAAAATGTGATTTTCAATACATGTGTGGATATGGAGATATAGTGCCTATATAAATATCTATGGGCTGAAGGTGGAATCTGATGACTCATCTGGTTCTCTCTCTCTCTCTCTCTCTATATATATATATGTTTATATCTATAGATATATTGATATATCTAGACAGAGAGATAGAATAGCACTGTGCACTGAGAAAACCTAAGCCAGGACTCCTTGGAGAAATGGCTGATTCCAAGTCTAGGCTGGGAAAAATATAGGATGGGCGTCAAATATCTTGCCAGAGAGTAACGTAGTGCTCAATGAATGATGGGAAATGTCAAAAAGTACAGAACCTGGCTAGAAGGGGCTTCCACTATCCGAATGTGGGACAATTTGAGCATCAAAATAAATAATGATTATATCCTAGCAAATAAAATAGGAATCTGTAAGGCCTCACTGAAATGAATATATAAATAGGGAGAAAAGAGAGCCATTCCTCATAGTAGAACACCAACTTAGATGTAGGAGAAATCACAGAATCTGCCCCAAATGATCTCCCCACAAGATAATTACACCATTATAAAGGGAACAGGGGTCATTTAACAGAGGAGCAAAATCGTAGGCACCACCTTACCCAGGGGATCAAAGTGAACATCAGAAGTCACTGGAGCAGATGGGCACAGAGTGCCATCTGAAGGAACACGCGACAAGCAATATCAGGTTCTATTGGAGGGCGCACAGTGGAAAGAACAGAGCATCGCTTGCAAGCTTCCTGCTCAAAACGCATAGCCTGAATCTAATCATGAGGACACTGAAAACCAACTCAAACTGAGGGACATTCTCAAAAACAATTGTCCCGTAACCAATTCCAGGAAGGACTGAGGAACAGATTGGAGTCTGACGAGGCACAGAGTCAGAAGGCAGCGTGTGCACCTGGAATGAACCCTTTTGTTATCAAGGATATTCATTGGCCAGTTGGGTAACCATGAATGGAGTCTCTGGGCGAAGAGACGTGGGAATTCTTTTTACCACTCTTCTAACTTCCTGTCATTTTGAAATTAGTTCCAAATTAAAAGTATCTATATTAATCAAATCACTGATGCATCCATACTCCTCACATGTAGAATGTTTTTTATAATAAGAACAGACAAAACTTTTAACACGAAAAGATATTGTGTATTGTATCTCCAGTTGTCCCTGAGTCGGTTAAAAGTTGATGAGTGGAGTATTTTTAATCTCTTTGAACACTTACCATTTGCATAAGCTAGGAATAATGAGATAATGCATGCATATAATCCGCATTAGTCAGCCTGGGCTTTCTTTGACTACATTTCCATCTCATTCAATACTAAGCGTGCATCAGACGTTGTCCTCTTGCCTCATGGCTCCCGGGAATGGACACAAGCAGCGGGGTTGCAAGGATGGTCTCTAGCCGCGGATGGCAACTCAGCACCCCGACCAATGCAAGAAGCGAACCCACAGCTGTGGCTTTGTTATTGCTCTCTTCTAACAATAGCCTGTCAAACCAAGTCACCAGAAGGTACTCTAAGTACTTGCTTCCAAAATAAAACCAGGATTTAAGTGGCAACTTGCTCCGATTCTCTTAGAATATCAACATGAAATGGCTTTATTATTTCTAAAACTTTCCTCCTCGGGGGCTGCGGTGTCCCCTCTCCTGCTGGGAGGCAGGAACCTTAACCACAATTTCCTCCTAATAGTAACTTTCTGTTACTCATCAGCCGCCTAAGACTCACTCCGTCCACCCAGCCTGGATAGATCTCACAACCCTAACGCTGAGCGCAGGAAGCTGGACGTAAAAGAGGATGTGCAGTGGGATTCCGTCTACGTAAAGTACAGGAGGGGCCAAACTCACCTTGGGCGTTAGGAGTCAACAGTACCACGAGTTGGGGCAGGGGCTGACTGGAGGTGGGCATGGTGGGGGCCATGCTGGTCATAGACAGTGTCTTGCTCTTGGGAGCTGGTACCTGACCGTGTTCGTTTCATGAAAATCCAGCCAGCTGCTTGCTTGGGGTGTGGGCACTTATCTGTATTTATATCCTACTTCAGTAAAGAGATTTCAAAACGACCAGTCCACTGGACAGTCCGCTTTAAAAACCCTCATCTCCCCTCCTCTGCCCACTCCTGGGGCAGGGCAGGGCCCTCTCTCCCGCCCGAGCGGCTGCAGGAGGAATGGCAGCGTGTTCTCACACAGCTCCCCACTTCCTTCTGGAGGTGCCAGCTCCCCTGGTGCCTTAGGGGTGGGGAGAAGCGAGAGGGACGGGGATGGGGGTGGGGTGGGGATGGCGCCCCGGCTAATTGGAAGAGGAATCCAGTCCTACCTTAACCGCAGGCCTCCCTCCTGGTCCACCCTTCTTACCGGGGTTCAATCCCAGGTCCCTTTCCTATGCACTGGTACTTGGCCACCTCCCCTAGTGTCCCCCATCAATGCAGCATCCTCTGATGCCCCGCAACTCCCACCCCCAGAGGCTACGGCAAGCCTGTGGGGTGGGGCCATCTTGCGATCCACGGAGGAAGAGGGAACGGCGGGTGGTCCAGGGGTGTCTCCCTCCACGCCACTGCTTTCCAATTCTCTTTCGCCCTGTTTGAGGAGCAGAGAGGTCAGTTCAGGGAGTCGGCTGCTGAAGTAGACTCCTGACTTGTGAGGGTGAAACGCCAGGCTCCCCTCCTTTCAGGGGCTACTTGTCTCAACTTGCGGTCCTCCTGGACCTTCCATCCCTTGGCTTTCAAGAGAGGAGGGAAGAGTCTTGCTTCCTGAACCCGAACATTCCAAACAACCCTTTGCCCCGAATCAGATCTCACTTCCGGTAAGCGGCAGAAAGAGGACTGAAATCCAAGGTTTTGAGACTTGAGAACGCACCCTGTTTGGGTTTTAAGAACTCCTGGGTTGTCCATTCTGCTTATCTTCATGGGAGATTTACTGGTAAGGGATGCTTTGCTCCACCCACCTCCATCTCTATAAATAACGTGAAATAAATCAGTTGGATTGCCTTAAATGTGGAAATCATTTTGGTCTCCCAACTGGAAACAAAGCCACTCTCAAGGAAGTCACCTTTCAGTCACTTTGTTTTCCAGCACTTGCTTCAAAGGACCTTGAGTTTTCACCCAAACCCCTTTTCCAGAAACTCTGCTACGGTGGGCTCTTTTGTTTTTGTACTTTTATTCCCAACAGGCAGTCTCTCGCTCTTATCATCCTTGTTTTGCAAATTGGAGCTAATTGTGAGAAATTGAGGATAAAAGTTATTTGGCAGTTAGGGAGTTTTTCCATTCCTTTCAGGAAATATGCATCTAAGCTCTCCAAATAAATGAATGCTGAAGTAGGAATCAATCATCGGCTTCTAAGGCAGTCTATTTTTAGTTATTTGGCAGACTGCCTGTGTCACAGGGCTGCAAGTACATTTTGAAGATAGTTTACTCTACAAATATGTTTACTTGTTCCTGATGAGGTGTATGGAAAATGTTCAAGTCCTTTTTCATTCCCCCCTTTGACTTTTTCTCAGAATGTGATTTATATCTCTAGTTCTCAGGCCCTCTGAATTACAATTTCATGACAACTTCTAAAACCATAGATTTCAATAACAAAGTTGGTTCAGATGGAATACAGTTGTCTGACTTCCAAGGATTCAAGATAAAAATCAATTATTATTTTTGGGTTTCT